AAAAAAAAAAAAAAAAAAAAAAATACTAACCAGTTGATTAGTAATTGAACCCACAGCCTTTTCAATGACTATTTCCATTTATGAATTTTTGCCCAATCATTCAGCGGCAGGTGCATGAACTTAGATTTGATCAGTGTTTTAGCGAAGTCTACCGACAGAAACACGCAAAGAAGCAAGAGTAAAGATGTCCTTCTTTGTGAATCACACTTTTTCACTTGGAGAATCGGGTAATGGAAAACCGGATCAGCAATGTCCGGGATTAGCAGTACAAAATACCGTTTTAGGAACTTCTTGTTTTCTTGGGATCATCGCGAATTCGATCATTCTAGCATTCATCTTCAAAAATCGCCGTGGAGGTCTAACGCCCGATAAAATACTGATCACCAATTTTGCACTCGTGGATCTGATCGCATGTTTGATCAGTCTTCCACTGCACATGACAGCTATCAATGGCGACTCAAGCCTGGCGGACAACGGAGTGTGTTTAGCCAGGTTCTTTACCATGTTCGCGAGCTTTGCTGTTAACATCATGACACTGGCTGCCATCAGTATTGACCGCTATGACGCCATTTGTCGTGCGCCGTTCCGTGAGATAACCCTCAGGAAGACTGTATACCACCTCGTCTTCATCTGGCTGTTTGCAATTTGTACCGCCGCAGCCGGAGGTAGCGGGCATGTGTTGACTGCTGCACGGAGCGAACATGTATGCCTCAGTCCGGGTAGGGAGATCCCTTCGGAAGCACTAACCGGGAAATCGGTCATGCTCGCCATTGTGACATTGTGGATAGTTCCTTCCCTCGCCATCGTGTTTTACAGGTTTTACGCAATCGTTAAGTATGTACAAGAGCACTCGGCTCATCTCCGGTCCGTGCTCGGCGCTGTAGGCGTGAAAAGAGAAGTTAAGCTAACAAGAATTTGCGCGGCAATGGTTGTAACGTATCTCAGTTGTTGGGTGATGTTTGCAATCATGGTACTGCTGAGAAACATGTTTTCCTCCTTAACCGTGCATTGCACTTATCTCTGGTCGCACTCGTTAGCTTATTCCAGTTTCACCGTAGTGCCATTTGAATACATGGTCCTCGACAAAAGATTGCTTGCCTACGTTTGGCAAAAATTTTCTCGAAAGAGAAGAAA